ATATGTATATTTGAAAGAACTTTAATTTTTAATGAATGTAGTGGTAAGATCACGATGGTCTATGAATCCAGACTATAATCTTTCAACCAATTAGTAGCGTCGTTAAGTATAATATTTTCTTATTCTCTAACACATCATTAAATGATATTTTAACTTTGGTGTGAACCATCTAGGCAGTGCTGGTTATAGTTAACAATCTCGTAGTTCCGTTATTATCATATTCCGAAGCAATTACCAACCTTTTTATGGGTTTAGATTACAAACTTAATTATCTATATCTTAAAGGTTTTAACTTAATTCTAAACAATAAATATATAAGCCAATAAACTAAATTTCCGATTACTAATTGAACACTCATTGGTTTTGTGCTTTTAGCGTTTGAAGCCTCTCAATCTCTTCTCAGGTTTTGATTCTAATGAAAACAATATATAGAGATCATGCATTAAACATTAATCGCAGTATAAATTATAAGAAATCTTATAATAACACTAAACGCGAGGAATCAAGACAAAGAAACTATTCAACTTAGTAACACACACACATCGGATTTTCTTAGACAAAACGAAAAAATATATATCATCGTATATAGTATAAACTCTTTCCAAGAAAGAGAGATCATTCGGGAGACATGTTTAACATGATCTGTCTTTAGTACGGAAAGATTATCAGTCTAAGACCCATAATTATTACCCCCAAAAAATCATTTGAAGGCTATCGGAGCGTGGACTGCACGCGCTTGTTCGTCGGAAGCTCTACTATCTGCTTGGACTTTAAAGGAGATCGAGATAAAAAGAGAGTCTTCATAATCATTGACTTCACCAGCTTCCTCTCTTTTGGGAACACACTCCCTTGTTTCGGCCCCAACCGCGGCTGTCGCCACTCTCCGTCATCTACGGCCACCACTTTCTCTACCGAGCTCATCGATATTTACTCTCTATCTAATCCTCTTTTCGTCTTGAGGAGAGCATAAGCTCTTAGACTTGCCCTCAATTTATCAGTTAATGAGACTTATGGAACAAGCTAACATGTAATAAGTTTAATTATTATATGAATTGAATCTTGTTATTTCCCTCACGTGGCATTATATAATAAGTTTCATTTGAGAACCAATTAGTTATGCTGCAACTAATTAAGATACTGATTAAAGCCACTTATTCTTTTCGAAGTTAATCATGATATGGAATTATTGGCTTCACCACTCTCCTTTTTTTCAATACCTTTACCTTTCGGCCATTAGAATAATTGAAGAAAACAGTAACATATTCATAGTTAAGTACTTAAGTATATATAACAGCACATGAATCACGAGTCAAGATTTATCCATATCGCTTGATAGGAAACACATGTAACTAACTTATTAAAATCAAATACCCGATCTGATATATCTTTCAAAAGTGATATCAAATAAGATAAACTAAATTTTTAAAGGCCAAATGTTGTGCGTGTGCTGTTGATTTAACTATTACTTATGAAAGCAAGGGATTATCAAAGTGATTAGATAAAGGAACGCGTCATTCGTGTTTTAAATTTGCTATCGTTAATTCATTACTTCCAAGTTCCAACCAATGTTTAATATACTAGTAAAAAATTAGACATGAAAAACATTAGTAACATTTTGAAAGATGTGTGAATTGAAAATTTGAAGTACTTTTTTTAACTCATCTGTCACAATAATTCGCGTAAACAAATACATGAATCATCGTTTGTTAGAAAAGAGAAAATAGATTACTAGTAATTTCTTTGATGTGACTCAGTGACTATATCATATCAAAACGGGGAGCATCTAAATCTTGCACGAGATTGATTGATGTCGACCATTCTCCCGAAACCACGTTCTTCTAACTGAAGCTTTTATATGCCATTGACCTCAAAGGATGATTTACAATAATAAAAAATTAAACCTAGGGCATAGTTTCTGATTTCCGCTAACCTAATTTTTAAAACACTAATGTTGCTTTTGCATCTTTCTGAAAAATAAAGTATGGTTATACTTATATATATACATTATATAAGGCAAACGAAAAATCAAGAGGAATTGTTCATATGCCGCTATATATAGTTTGTATCATGAACATGTACAAGAAGTCAATAAGGAAAGTGCACAAAAATATTAAATAGTACTAATTAATATAGACGAGATATCGACCATGAGTGTGTAAACTTGGAAGTGAAGCATGTATATGGGTAAACCTCTATAAATTAATAATGTTGGGACCAAGAAATTTTATTAATTTAGAGAGGTATTAATTTATCGATAAATTATTAATTTATAGAGAGATGTTCCTAATTTTGTAATTTCTTACAAAAATTTCTATCTAAAAATAAATTTTTACTTTATAAACAATATTTTTTTAAAACTAATTACAAGTAGAGAAACAATTATTAAGTTTAAAAAACAACACAAACTTTTTTCGAATAATAGAGTCATATTTCATCAAATGTTTTACATATAATATATTAAATATATATTATAGTAATTCATATATTACATATACAAATTTATATAATGTATATATATATATATTGAGAAGTTAATTCAATTATTAATTTATGATATAGATGGGACCATATGTTTACATGAGATTTTCAAAAAAATTATTATCTTATTAATTTATCGATTTATGTCATATTTTACACTAGTCCCAACTCGGGACCGGAAATATTTATTAATTTAGAGAGGTTATTAATTTATATAGTATTAATTTATAGAGGTTTCACTGTAGTATCATTAGGAATTTTTTAGTATTATTTATAATGTTTGTTTATTGTTTGAGATTTTTTATGATACTCCTACTAAATATGTTTGCATTGGTGAGACCGGCTTAAGTATCATAAAAAAAGATTATTTGCAAAATCAAAAATAGATATATAAAAACATAGGATTACAAAAGGTAATATCTATACTAGTATTTTTGCAGTCATTTTGGTGACGGGTGGGTAAAAATGCTTTCGGGTTATTTGGATACCCGACCCGTTTCCAAATTTTGGTCATAAAAAATTTCTTGGGTCGGGTTATATTTAACCCAACTCATACACCGGATATTCCATATTTAATAATTTAGATATTTAGAAGATTTGATTAAGATTTAGAATTATAATTCTTCTATCATCTTTGTTTGATTTGTATTTAACTGTTTTGAATCATCATATAATACATAAATATTTTATAAGGAGATACAATTTATAAAAATTTATATATACTAACTTTAAAAAATAAATCATCCCGCGGTGTACAACGGGTTAAAATCTAGTTAGAATTAAAAAACCGTAGAATATACTTAAGCAAAATAAAACATAAAATTCAAAAAAACTTAAAAAAACATGATGATAAAAATAATTTAGTCGCTCGAAATCAATTACCTTGACCCCATTTTTGCCAAATATGAATTTTTTTTTCTCTACTTTCAAGGAAAAACGCGTTTCACAGACAAATCAGCTGCCGCCACGTCACCTGATACTGGGTATCAGAAGTATCACTGGAGTGATACTGATCAGGCCCAACTTGATACTCTGATCTATTAAAAAATAATTAATAGGCTCCTGATACTCTCATTATATCAGCTATGTACATGGTCTTATTGATTCCTGGAAATTATATAAGAAAGATTACTTTATTAAACATACATTATTGCTGTTAGATAAAGATTCTCGACCTATTACTCTATTAGAGGAAGCTTCCTATCATTTCACTTGAAATTGTTTTCTTTTAGTTTTATGTCGCATGAAATTTGAATCACCATCAACAATATATTCGCAGAACTCGCCGGCTTTCAATAACATTATGTAAATTTTTTTCCCCCGAGTAGTGACAAAGGCTACAGTGACATGAATATAGATAATCATCATCATTCATCACTCATTCACATTTCATTTCAATATAGAAAATGCCACGAAAGTTGCTAAATGTGAAAAGGTGGGCTCTGGCTTTGTGTGGTTTCCCTTCATCTTGATAGCTTAGTGATTGTTTCTGGTTGAAGTGGTTTAAAATTTTCTATTTGGGCTAATTAAGATGTTTTGCTTTATTTAATTTAGTAGAGAAAAACGTTTAGAAAAAAATTGGTGGAAAAGCGAAAACAAAAGCAAACAATGCGACAACAAATTGCATTTAACTATTAATTAATTACAAAAATTCTGAAAATTTAGTCTAATTTAGAGTTGTCGAACTCAAGGTTCTGGGCCATATCACGGTTTTAACGGCCCAATTATAATAATTGACCCAACCCGTTACATGGAAACGACATCATTTATATGTAGTAAAGATCTTTACTTTGCAGTTTGCAACAACAAAGATAGTCTTTTATCTCATGGACTTCCTCAAGACAGAGACTTGGCCATTTGTCTGAGCAAAAACTTCTGAAAATTTAGTCTTCGGAAGTTCCTCATGAAAGAGATCACTTTCCTCGGTACTAAGATTGGCCATGAGAATCTAGAAAACAAGGTGAACTATAATAAAATGTTGGTGGGCACAAAATACAGAGTCAAAAGACAGTTTATAAAATTTGTAATCAAGATCAACTAACAAATTAGGCCCAACTACTTCTACAGTTTTACACATAATCCAATATTTATTTTGACCTTACCACTACCAACTATAAAGTAGGACCTTATTTATTTTAGTAATTTTACCGTCCTAGTCTAAGGAACAACACATTGGATCCAAACTCTGACTCAACTCATCGAAGTATGAGCCCAATATAGATTTAATAGTACATCCTACTAGAGATAAACAAACAACTCTTAACTAGGCCAAAATTGATTTGCAAACCACAAAACAACTACTCCCTCCGTATTTTAATAATTGTCGTTTGAGGATTTTTATTTTTTTGAATTGGATGTCGTTTTCAAATTTCTATGCAAAATTTATTACTTTTTAATGTTTTATGACATCATAAAACATTAAAAAGTAAGAAATTTTGCATTGAAATTTGAAAACGACATCTAATTTTTTAAAAAAGAAAATCCTAAAACGACACTTATTAAAATACGGAGGGAGTAATAAAGAAGAGAGAACATCTTCATTCATCAGGACAGGGCAAGGTCAAGAGTTAAAAAAAAGGGACACACTTGCAATAGTGTTATCAGTTACTCATTGCAAATGTTATAACATTAAAAATAGCAAACATGTTTCATAAAGTTTGGAAACTAATCCCTTCTTAAGGGTACAATAATACATCACAAAAGATAAGTCTTTATTTACTTCATTCATGGAGTTTCTTCATATCCTCAATAACTTAAGTGAATCTTTAAGGCAGGGACTTAGCCATTTGTCTAAGAAGAAACTTCTGTATCTTTCCAGTAGAAGTCTTTGGAAGCTCCTCCTGAAAAATCACTTTCCTCGGAACCATATACTTAGGTAACTTCGTCTTACAAAACTCCCTTATTTCCCTCTCTGTCACTGAACCATTACCATTATTATCATACTTCAAGCTCACAAAAGCACACGGCGTCTCTCCCCACATCTTATCCGGTTTAGCCACCACCGCAGCTTCCTTCACAACCGGATTTGTATACAGAACCGTCTCAACCTCCGCACTACTTATATTCTCTCCTCCGCATATGATCACATCCTTTGACCGGTCTTTAACTTCCAAGTAACCGTCTTTATGTATAACTCCAACGTCTCCACTGTAGAACCATCCGTCCTCTCTCATACACGCCGCGGTTCCTTCAGGGTCTTTATAGTAACCAAGCATAACCGACCCACCTTTTAAAACGATCTCTCCTACAGAAACTCCGTCGTGTTCCACACTCTTCCCGGTTCTCGGGTCCCTAACATCGACATCCGCAAATCCGATGGTTCTTACTCCTTGTCTTGATTTCAGTATAGCTCTCTCCAATGGATCAAGATGATCCCATTCAGCCTTCCAAGCACATGACACAACCGGACCTCCGGTTTCTGTTAAACCGTACCCATGACCGACATTGAAACCTAGGGATTCTGCTCTGGAGATGATGGCTGCCGGAGGTGGAGCTCCAGCGGTCATAACCTGATTTCAGAAAGTGAATTTTATGAACAAAAACAGAGTTTATTCAAAAACAGATTTTCAAATGGAAGTTTTAATAAACCAAACCGGTATTGAACAGAGATGTTTATTAATACCTGAACCGGGTTCTTTAGCGGTTTACGAGACGGGTAATTGGTTAGCATGTTGAGAACCATTGGTGCGGCACACATGTGCGTTACGTGATGCTTATCGATCAAGTCATATATAGTAGGCGCGTCGACTCTACGTGTGCAGACGTTGGTGGCTCCAACCGCTGCGGTTCCCCAAGTGTATCCCCAACCGTTGGCGTGGAACATTGGTAGAGTCCACAAATAAACCGGCCGGTTCGGAAAATGCCAGTCAAGCAATGAGCTAACGGTTAGCATGAAAATTGCTCTGTGGCTAAGCACAACTCCTTTGGGAGACGACGTTGTTCCAGAAGTGTAGTTGAGAATCATTGGCTGCCACTCGGTTTGAGGACGGATCCACTTGAATCTCGAATATCCTCTCTCCATGATTCCTTGGTATGTATCAAGAAAATCCGATGCGGCCGAAGCAGATGAAGAACCGTCCTCTTGGTCGTCGTCGAGGAGGACGAGGTGAGGTTTCTTTTGTTGTCCTAAGAACGAGACTGCTTCGAGGACTACGGAGATTGAGTTGGGATCGACAAAAACGAGCTTAGATTCACTATGACGCAGGAGGACAGAGAGTGCATGTGCGTCCAAGCGAGGGTTGATGTTGTTTAAGATGGCTCCGGACATTGGAACAGCAAACTGAAGTTCGTAAACGGACGGGACGTTGGGACCTACGACGGAGACGACTTGGCCTCTGTTTATGCCGAGAGAGGAGGAAGTGAGAGCCGAGGCTATTCGAAGACAGCGGTTGTGGGTTTCGGACCAAGTGTGGACGGTGTTAGTGGTGTGGAGGATGGACGGACAGTCGCCGTAGACGGAGGCGGCTCGGTCCAAGAAGCCGAGGACGGTGAGAGGTGTTGAGTTCGAAGGGTGTGGAAGTAAGAGTTCCATAATTTGATTTTTGTTTATGTTTTGTAATGGTATGAGGTTTGTGAAAAGGCTAGGGGGTTGTATTTATAAAATCTTCAAAATGTTTTCAACTTCCTGAGGTGGTGTTGGAGTTTAGGTCATTTTGTTTTATTTTTGGTAACTATAATTGATCACATATGTCCCACGAAATCAAATTGATGAAATGAAATAAACAAATCTTCTTTAATTTCTTAAGTTATCAAAATATTAAATTTAGTTAATGAATAAGAAGAATCTCTCTGTTTTTTCATTTAACCAAAAGATATTGGTGAGTGACGTGAGTATATAAAAATGGTGGTGGGCATTGAATAAAGACAGAGTTTACCAACTAACAAAAGTTGGACGGACCCAAACGAACTCTCTATTTTATAAAGCTTCCAAAATTGTGACGACAAGTTCTTATATAGTTGAACTACGGTCGAAGGAGCTAACTAAAATAGTGATTCGTCGTTCCAAATATTTATATTCATAGTAGATATATTTATATTCCATTATATTACAAATGTTTATATAAGGTTAAGATGATTGGGAATTATGCATGCATGGATACATCAAATGAAACGACTAAATTATTTATGGATAATCAATCTAAAATATTCTTGCGTGATGTTAGTGGTATTTCACATTTAGTACTAAAAAGAGCATCTTCATTTAAAATATTTGAAAACCTTATACATATATTGACATTGATTTCTACTGTCAACGTCCACAGTCCACAAGATGTTAGTTTTGCATACGACTATGAGTACGCATTTGTGACGATTGGTTGAGCGACTTGTACTTTGTCACATTTATGTATGAGTGTTGACCTCACCCGACACAAGTCCGTCGACTCGAAAAACTCATTGACAAGACCATCCGAAACATAAATCTACTTCAAAATGGGTAATTCCGGCAACAGGAAGTACGAAAACCTACTCATATTTTGGTTCTCTTCTTGAAGTTAAGACTGTAAGATAATAGAACTCTAATAACTCTTTCAGAACTGATGCACTTGATGTAACAAAAAAAAATTATGAATAAAATTTTACACACATTCCAAAATTTTTTTGACTCTTTTGATCAACTGAAAAGTTAAAACAATTGTTCTAAATTAGGTAACAATTTTAACAGTTTTATACATATCTATACTAATATATATATATATATATAATATATATATATAGATCTTTACCAACCATTGTCATTGAACACTACTAACTCTGAACTCTAAAAAATATAAGATGAATAACACATCAACCTCAAACTCTAGCTTGGAATATGTAAACCAACAATTTAGTGTTACTTTTTTTTTTTGGGTGGCCAAATCATTTTAGTGTTAACTCTAAACTCTTTTTAAATCATATACCGTCCACCAGAAAAGAAGAATATTTAGAAATTTTGTTATCATAAAAAAAAAAAACACATATGCAAAGACACAACTGTACACTTGTAAACAAAATTAAATCTCAACAGGTTTGTTCTTATCATAATTTGTCAAAAACTGAGTGATTCATGTGACATTGTGAGTGTACACAAAAACTTTTAATCCCATAAAGATATGAACATTGGCCGTGGGTGGTGAGATGATTAAATGTAGATAAATTTTGGGTAGTTTAGAAGTTATATCCACATTTAATGAATCTCTGCATCACCCACCACATACGGATCCATTAATTTCATATGCACAGAATCAAATGCCAACCTACTTGCCAATTTTAGCATCATGACGATTTTGTCATTTGAGATAAAACTTTGAGCTTTTTTCTTGAATAGATAGATACTCCTTGTTTACCCACATGGTCTAGTTTCAGTTAAAAAGGTTACATATGTCATGTTCGAAAATTAAATACATATGTTTATCAAGTTCTCTAGCATCACAAATATTGAAGTCCTTTAAAATTTGTAATAACCAGTTGTACCATGGGAACCAAGAAAAATCTATTCCTGTCGGTTTAACTTCTCCGGTTTAACAAGATGAGGGAAGCCTAAACGAAACAACATAAGAAAATTCCAATTAGAAACACACGATGTATTAATCGTACGAAACAAATGTTCAGTTCATGATTATGGTATAAGCATTATATACTTTGAACGAAAATGAAAGAATTAGCAGATTACATTGAAACTGTTTACAAAATATCAAATTTTCACTAACCCAATGGGGGACAGATGTGATTAGATAAATATCTTCACAATGATCATGTGCTTTCATATGAGACTTGGATTCCCTAGTATGTAACTGGTTCAAGTTGAACAATATGGAGCTTCTACTACTTAATCTCATGTGAGCATACCTCATCAACATAAATCAAATCCAATAAAGAGAAGAAAAAAATGAACATATAGAATCACACTAACATTAGTCACAACTTTCACCATGACTTTAGCCAAAAAAAATTTCATCAGAAGCTTATGCTCATATGATCCAAAGATTATAGACATTACAATTTTAATATTACATGACTCAGTTGTTCAATTCTAGCTCGCTTTTCACCATCTAATTCAAGCAAATTACTGTTTTCTTAGCTGTGGATAAATGATAAATTGAAGGGTCAGTTTCCTTAGTTGTGGATAAAGTTAGTGTGACTATATATGTTCCTTCTTTTTTCTTCTTCTCTTTCTTGGATTTATTTATGTTAGTGAGCTACTAATCTGATGTTGTAGTAAGAAGAAACATATATCATTGAGAGCATGAACCAAGCCCTCTATGAAGTTAGTTTTCATTTGCATATTCTGTTAAAACTTAAAAGTCATATATCATGGGCCTAACAATGCTAGTGGTTTTTTTTTGATGGTTTGAAGGGTTTACTATATATCACATGTAAAACAATTGACAATAATGCTAAATTATGCATATCACAAAGAACATACTAAGAAACAAATTAGTGAAATATTCAGCTATTATAACAATGGGAGACAGAGACATGGTCATATCGTCACAATGATCACACGCTAAACTATTTATTGCCACAACCTTTTTTTTTTCACACATGGCTTGAAACTTGTCATAGATTATGCTATTTCTGAGGTTTTCTGCTTTCATATGAGACTTGGATTCCCTATTGTAGAACTGTTTCAAGTCGAACAATTTGAGAGATAGGAAAAAAAAAATATTCTTAGGACATTTTAGCTTAAGCTGGAATGAAAATAACACATTGAAAAGGTTCATCCATACTTATACCAATGGCTTAGTGAGAAGAGCCATTTCATTACCAAATTTTATCACTGTATAAAAGACATAGTTTATACATCAACACATCACATAAGCAAAGATATACTTTACAGTGTTTACACATAACACATCAAACATGTAAATGGACTATACACACACATGTTACATGTGTATTATATATCATCATTAGACATGTAAGATCATGTTCTTGAATTCTTCAAAGTCAACGAAACCATCAAGATTCTTGTCATGAACTCGAATCATTCTCCCACAATCCCAAGCCCTTGCCTCCTCCTCGAACCCTAGCCGTCCCAACACATCACGAAGCTCCTCCGCAGAAATATAACCATCTCCGTTCACATCAAACACACTAAACGCCCTCGCAATCGCTTCATCAGTATTCTTCTTCGTTCCTTTGCTATCTAAAACGGCGTCGTTGTAGAACCGAAGAAACTCGTCTATATCGAGGCTCTGTTTACCAACGATCAGTTCAAGCTCATCGGGAGTGTGTTCGGGCCAACCGAGTTTCTCAAGAATCCAATGGAGCTCGTCGAGGGTCACGAGCCCGTCTTGGTTCTTGTCGAGCTTCTTGAACATTCTTTGGAGATCGTCTCTACTTATGAATGAACAATCCATTTGATCAGAGAAGGGTAGTTTTGGACCTTTTGGTTATGTTGAAGAAATGGGTAAATCTATTTCTGGAGAAAGTTTCCAATCTTTATCGTCTATAGACATTATACACGTACAGCTTCATATTTATATGATTAGTGTGTACGGAAGAGTTGAAACGGAGGAAGCTTCCCGGAAATGGGAAATGAAACGACTAATTTCCTGAATAATGACGTTTCTAGAAGTAAAGTCATTAAAATATGACATTTATCTAATTTTCTTGTGTCAAACTTTGACATATAGCTAATTTTATATGAAAATAAGATAGCTTGTGACTCGTCTAATTATCATCTATGATTTAAAAAAAAAATATATCAATTAAAAACAGTATAAGAAATAAAATAATGAAGAAATTAACTTGCTCATATAACCGGATAACCTCATTTACTTTCTGATATAGAAAAAATGATATATCTAACCTAAATCGCAATTTGTACTGTCCACAAAGAAATCACAAATTTTCATATGTGACATTGCGAAGCTTTCTTAACAAATATTATTATTATTATACCCTGGATTTTGATAGCTAAATAGTATTAGTATGTTATTATAAAAAACAAAAAACAGTTTGTATGTAGTAGAGTGGTGTCATAATCTTAGTTTGACATATGGAATGTTCGGTAATGTTCTCGAGTTCCGTGGCGTTAAGTCGTACGGTCCCCATTTACTAGATATTTATCACCGGCCACATACATACATGCTCATCCACATTTTTCAGTGGATTTTTCCCTGTGAACAAAACAACAAAACGATAATGCTATAGTTCTCATGTGGATTAGATAAATAAGAGGAAAATTATAAGCATTATCTGTTCATCTCCAACCAAATCCATTACTATTCCTAGTTCCTACTTCCTACCATAATTTTTCATTTTACTATTTATACAAATATAATGACCAAAAGCCTGAGCCCAATTTATAAATTTGGGCCTTATTCTCTTTAAGGGCCTGAAATGAAATAATCAATTATGACAAAACATAAAAAGCTCTCTTCCCGATTTCGCGGTTTATGACTGTAATAAACTTACTGTCACTCTACAGTGTGTCGGAATGTGAGCTACAGCGAGATGTTCGATGAGAGAAGTTAATAATTCCTTTTCTAAATTTAGGGTTTCTCTTGATCGAAATTTTCCTTTTTGATAATATTCTTCGAAAGATCTCTCTCTCATTAGCTTACACTGAGAAACTTCTGGAATTTGTAAGTGATCCCATTCCATTCTACTTGCATTTTCTTCTTCCTTTTCTGAATTTGTTGAGTGGTTATTGAATCGAACTCAAATTTAGTGTTTTATTCCGTTTTTTTTTTGTTTTGTTTTGTGATTTGAAGTGATTTTTTTTTTTGGGTTCAAATGTGATTTGAAGTGATTAAGATGAGAAATATGATGAATTCTGCTGCTGCAATGAGAGCTGTGAAGAAGGAGTTTATTGTGATGGACTTAGATGATAATGATGAAAATGTGCGTTGTGGTAAAGTGAAAGAAGAGTATATGATGGATGCTGAGCAAATTAATTCTTCTACAGATTCTGGCAAAACTAATCCTTCCAACATGCAACAGATTGTTTCTGCTGTTGCTTCTGATGATGATGATGATGATTGGGGTACCAAAATTGATTATCAGTATATTAAGTTGTTGGATAGTTTCAGAGAAGATGGAACTTCAAATCTGAGTGACAATCCACTAAGGTCTATTAGGTATGAAGTAGATAATGGAGGATACGACAAGCGGGAATTTAAAGCAAATAAGCGGAGTAGAGAAGATCGAAACACTATTCATGTGACCAAGAAAAATGTTGAGCCTAAGCCTCCTCATGTTCAAGCAAATACAGAGAAGGTAACGAAAGAAGCAGGTTTCAGATTAAGGCGAAGAGAGAGTCTTGTGAGTGAGAAGAGTGTTGAAGAAATGCTTATTACAAGTCATGTGAAAAGAAACTCGAAACATAGTGTCGATGCTAGGGAGAAGGAGAATTTGGAGGATCTCATGGTATTGGATGAGGGTTACAGATCTTATCTCACATGGTTAGTGGAGAATTCGAAAAGTTCAAGAACTAATCTTAATAAGAATAAGAAGATACAAGTAAAGTGTGAGCAGGATTATACAGTGTCTTTGTCCGATTCTGATTCTGATATTATTGTGGTTGGAGATCGTCCGTTTCTCGAGGAAGAGGATTCTCCATTTGTGCCATCAAAAAGTTATAAAGTGGTTGTAAGTATAACCTTCATTCACCTTTGCTTTTGTTTCAAGTTCCTCTTTTTTCTTTTCAGATTCTATCTATTGACATTGTCTTTTGTTGGAATCAAGGATTTGGATGAAGAGAGCAGTGATCAACGCAATTCTTGGTTTAGGAAGGAGATAATGAATGTTTTGAAGCAGCCATATACTGTAACAGAGCTCAAGGAACTTCACAATGAAGCATTGGTGCATAGAGTGTCAAGGAGACATATAGAACTACGAGATGGAACAGAGTTTAGCTTTCCAACGAATAAAAAGACACCTTCATATCTCGATGGGTATCCAGGTAAGTTACCAGACAGAAGATGGCAAACATGTTCTTGGAAGTTTATGCTTTGCTTAGCAATCTTCTTGAAACGATATCACTAAATATAAACATTGATATGCTAAAATTGAAAAGGCTAGCTTCTGAATTCCAAACAACAGCAAACTTCGAGATTAATCTCTTAGAATGTTAGGGAAAGTGTTGTTTACCTTTATATTAAGTTTTGCTTTGGTTTGATTCCACAGACTTCAAAAAGCAGTACCTTGAATCTTTACGTGAAGATGATGAGCATAAAGCTCTGAACCTGTTGCGCGGGTTTATCTTTTATTTAACGGTAAGTGAGCTGGTTTATGTGGTATATCAATCGCTCTAAAGAGTAGAGATACTTTGTTATATCTCTTCTTGCCACATAGAGTTGTCCATTGGGTCACTAGTTGATGTTGTTGTTTCTCAGAATGTGGTACGTGATGATGCATTTAAACCATGGCTCGATCAAGAATGTTTGAAGATCAGATGTTTCTGACAAAAGGGTGTCAGCACTTGGAGTTCTGACAGAAGACTACTAATTCCGTTTTCATGGAAGACTAATTAGGACATGCAAGTCCTTTGTGTCATGAAATAAGTTGTGACAAAACTTGCTTTTATTTGTGTAACATTAGCCTCACCATTGTGTAGTAGTTCATGACTCGAGACTGGCCCAGTGGCTTCAGGTTCTCTGTAATGTGATTATCTCTTCCATGTCCTTGAGTGCAATTAAGAAAGCTTCCAAGCGGACTTATTAGAAAGAAAAGAAAAATCAACAAAAAACAAATAACAAATGTATTCCAATTTACTTTAGCGTGTTTTACCCTTAATCCAATTTAAAACCTTTGACCAAATAACTCAATCAAACCTTCTCAATGAGTTAGAGGGTGTTGTCAAGTCTCTTAAATTAATCTTCTAAAATTGATTAGGGGAAAAAGAGGATTAGAGGAAATTGGAACATAACAATCTTGTAATTAGTTGATAAAACGAATCAGACCACACAAATAAATCTCGCGACGAATATTGTTATTTAGAGAAGGAAAAGTGACTTACCATTACGTTTCAAGATACCAAATTAAATCAAACGACCTGTTACATCCAAAGTAGCAAAAGTAGAACCAAAGTTAACAGAATAGAACTCAGATGAAGCAGAACCAAAACATTTATTATCCCCAATCTAATAAGGAATAACCATCCTCCACCTCTGCTTCCTTCATATCCTCCACCCTCGCTGTATCCTCCTTCGCGCCTGCCACCACCACCACCTTCTCATGAGTAACCGCCACGACCTCCATAGCCACAACCACCTCCTCTTGAGTAACCGCCACCACTGCTGCTGTATCCTCCTTCGTGTCTGCCGCCGCCACCACCACCTCCTCTTGAGTAACCGCCACCACCGCCGCTGTATCCTCCTTCGCGTCTGCCGCCGCCACCACCACCTCCTCTTGAGTAACCGCCACCACTGCCGCTGTATCCTCCTTCGCGTCTGCCGCCACCACCACCTCCTCTTGAGTAACCGCCACCACTGCCGCTGTATCCTCCTTCGCGTCTGCCGCCACAACCTCTACCAACTCCACCACAGCCGCCTCCGCCACCACTTCCTCGTAACTAAGCCTTGTTCACAGTGATGCTGCGACCATTGAGCTCTTGTCCGTCCATTCCCACGATCGCATCCTTCATGGATTTCTCATCCTCGAATGTGACGAATCTGAATCCCCTTGATCTTAACTTTGTACTCACCAAAACAAACTGATGCTTCTTACTGCATTAGAGCTACTGGTGTGATTAGATTGTATATTGAAATCGGTGATTCGCTGTCACTGGAGATAGATTGCAAGGTGGCTGGATCATTGTCATCACCGGCTTCAGACTCAGTAGTGCCAAGGGTTATATAATCGAGGCCTTCCATTCCAAAAACTTCACTGTTAGTAGAACGCCTATTGAATACCATTGGCTCAGACTCGGAAAGGATGTTGTGAAGTGAACTAAAGTAACGCCCACGGGCATTTTTCTGTGATGGTTCACTTGGTCTTTTTCTCTTTCTTCCTTTGCTTTGGTTCTTGGGGTGATGGAGCTTGCATTTTGATCCTTGAGAGCATGATCCAGTGGCTTCGAAAACCGGGCAGTTGTAGGAATGCTTCTTCCGACACTGTGACCATTATGTAGAGACAATCCGCAATCTTACTTCATCATGTGTTTGCGAATTGAGATGGAGAAAAAAAATATGTGACATAAAGCCAGAGAGGGATCTCTATCCCTTATAGTCCTTATTGTATAGTCAACTTAATATGCTACTGAAGTCATCAAAAGAATTAGATAGGATCAAGGGCACTAAAAGAGTCACTAATAGTGCAAAGGAAAGGTGGATATGCATGTCAAAACGGAATGGATGCCAATTGCAAACCACGCAATGTATTTTAAGTGAAATCCTTACCTCGTCTCCGTCGGAACAGTATCCCTTTAAAAACCCATCACATATAGGGGCGCTCGGATTGACATGCACATGCCTATATGGACATGCCTCATTGTTGCATAGG